CAGATTGCAGGATCACATGGGTTACACATCCACTGTTTTACATATTGCTATACTACTGTCTGTTGTATTCTGCTGCCTTTCCTATCCTCTACTATCCCCCATAGGTAATTCTTTAATTCATTCATTAGTCATTCTTTAATTATGAACATTCTGAACTCCTTCTCTGACATTTCATCAACTGCACTGTCCATTGGTTTTGTTATTATATCCTGGTTTATTTGGGACATTTTCCTCTCTTGTTTTTTCACGTTGTTTATGTGTCTTCCTTTCTTGCAGTGTGGATCTGAAGTATTACAGTTTCTACCCTACAATCTTGTGGTATTTGTGCAGATTATCTGTACCTCACCTTGGTGTTGGACTTCTAGACACTCCCGGTAACCCGCGATAACTACTGCAACTAAGGGTGGTGGCAGCAATAGCGGAGGTAACTCGAGATAGCAGTGGAATTGCCCCAAGATGATGCCACATCTTTTAGAGATGGGGCTAAAAGGGTGGGCCTTTTACTGGCTTTGGGATGCCTGCTCCTAGATGCAGCTGCTTCTAGGCCCTGTCTGTTATCCCAAAGTAGAGGCTAGTGCATGGGGAAGGCTATTGGGATGGCTGCAGTGACCCAAGATGGAAGTAGGTTAAGCTTGGGCTCCTAGGTGGGTGGGGGGGAGAACCTGGGCCTACTCTGGGCCTGGGCTTCTCTATAAGTTGGTGGAGGCAGTCCTGGGCCAGGACTGAGCTCTGGCGGGGCACCAACTAATTTTAACAAAACTAAATCTCTAACTTCTTGAAGAAATAGCAGTATCTAAAATGGATTCGTGTAATTGCTAACAGTTACATGATTAATTTCTGGGAGCATGTTTAAAAAGTACCATGCCCATTGAAAATTAAGGTAATCAATACAAAAATAATGATACATTACTTATTATGGGTGTGTGCTGGTCTTCCATGGCCTTGGCAAGAAATTGTTTGGTGAAGATGAAAAGAGTCTTTGAGACATTTCTGCTGGAACATGACAACACAAAACATTCTTGTCAATCTAAGACTGGAAAGCTGTTTAACTTTTATTGGTTGGCAGGTGAGTATGAATAACACCTTCTTGAAGGATTTTTATTGTTGTTGTTACATCCCCTGCCCTTAAAAAAAAATTATTTAGAGATATGGTCTCTCTGAGTTGCTTAGGGCCTCACTAAGTTGCTGAGGCTGGTTTTGAACTCATGAACCTCCTGTCTCAGTCTCCCAAGCCTTTGAGATTACAGATGTGCACCACCCTGCCTGGCTTTCCTGAAAGAAAGCATATTGAAAGATAAGATATTATGTCTCGTTTCCTAGGATCATGTCCTTACAACCACTGGTTTTAACAATTAGAAATAAGTAGATTGAGACAATGATTCATGGTCCTTCCGTTTTTATTTGAGCATAGTATTGGCTGAGCAATTATACCACTTAGATGACTGATTTAACAAGTGAATATCATTACTGATTAATATGTATATGCTTTATTAGATTTCTTTTACAAAATAGTGTCTTCTCATCAGGTCCTATCTTTTACCAAAAGAAAATCAAGGAACTTGGGGCTGGGGTTGTGGCTCAGCGGTAGAGCGCTCGCCTAGCGTGTGCAAGGCCCTGGGTTTGATCCTCAGCACCACATAAAATAAATAAATAAAATAAAGGTATTGTGTCCAACTACAACTAAAAAAAAAAAAGAAAGAAAGAAAATCAAGGAACTGGAAGTTGGGTAACTTGCCTAAAGTTAATGATTGATGGAGTCAGGAAAATAGATTCTATTCTCTATTAAATCAATTTTTAAAGTTTTTCTTTTTTTTAGGATTAGGGATGGAAGTATTAGGGTCTTGTGTATTCTAGATAAGCACTCTATCCATGAACTATACACCCAGTCCTGGTTTTTACTTTTTAAAAGAGCTTGGTGCAAACTTCCCCTCCTTTCTATAAAATTCTCCTTTTCCCCTCCTCCTCCATTCTTTGTTTTTTGCTATATCCCCAGTATTTTATTTCTACTATTTAGCAATTAATTCTTGACATACCTACTATTTTTACACATATAAGACAGACAAAAATTTAGTCTGACAATACCAATTATTGGCAAGGATGTAAAGTAACAGAGAGTTTTCATATCCTGCTAAGAGTTTAGCTTAGTTCATTTTATTGAGAGCACTTTAATAACATCTCAAATATGCATATTCTAGGACCAACTGTTTTCATTCCTAATACATACTGGATATGTTATTGAACATGTGCACAAGGAGAAATGTAAACAAATTTTATTGTACCATTCTTTGTGTTATATGAATGCACTGTTATCATGTGTATATTATACCCTCTCTCTGTATACATACCACAGTATAATGTTTTTGCTCTGAACTATTAGGGAGTAAGTTAAAAACATCATGACCAAACAGAAAATCTGCAGAAGAATTAGTATTTATAACATATTCAAAATATGCAAAAATGTATTATCATGTTTAGAAATACACACATGTATGGCAGAAATAAAAAGATAGTGGCTAAGGTTGTGGCTCAGTGGTAGAGCGCTCGCCTAGCATGCACAAGGCACTTGGTTCCATCCTCAGCACCACAAAAATGTAAAATGAAGATATTTTGTCCACCTAAAACTAAGAAATAAACATTAAAAAATAAAGAAAGATTGGAATATGAATGATCAACAACAAATTTGGGCAAGTGGGCTTCCTGGGGGATAAGGAAGGAAATGTGTTCAAGGATGGGCATCCGAAAGCTTATCAGCAAGATTTTTAAGCTATGTCTTGGGTATATATTTGTGGGTTTTTTTGTTTGTTTTACCTTTTTTGTTTGACTAATAAATTTCATAATTAAAAAAACATATATTCCTATTTTAATGAAAAATTTTAAAATTAGGAATAGATGCTGCGTTTTATCTAATGCCTTGTCAGTATTTATTAAAATATCATTTTATTTCAAAATCTGGCTCTGTTTTCTAGTATAGTATATAAGATATGCATAATGTTTTTTGAACAAATGAATATCTATCCCTCTCTCAATTCTTCTATATCTAAGTCCAATTAATTCCAAGTTCTTCTCTGAATACTTCACCCTTCAATAAACAATATTACCACACATGCAAGAGTCCTTGGCATAATATTGGGTACTACTAACAGAGTACAGCCTGAGACAAGGGTTTCCTCTCATTTCTTCCATCTCAGAGTTAGTTCCTCTCTTCATTTGCTACATGTACTTCAATGTAGCTATTTAACTCCCTCTGAGGAAGAGCAATGACCTTGTCTTATTAATCATTATCTTCCTTGGGTCTACTTCAGAGTCTAACACATAGTAGAGTCCCTGGAAATACTTGTTGAATGGCATTAAATGAGATGACTTATTTACACATATCCAGTACAAATGCACACCAATTATTTTTAGACTGCCAAGAGAGTAGTTGTGCACACCTGAAATCTCAGCTACTAGGGAGGCCAAGGAAGAAGAATGGCAAGTTCCAGGGCAGCCTATAGGCTGGACTGGGTAATGTACCTTAGTGGTAGAACACCTTTGGGTTCCATCCCTAGTACCAAGATAAAATAATAAATTTAGGGATGGGGATGTGGCTCAAGCGGTAACGCACTTGCCTGGCATTGGGGGGGCGCTGGGTTTGATCCTCAGCACCACATAAAAATAAAATAAAGATGTTGTGTCCACCAAAAACTGAAAAATAAATATTAAAATAATAATAATAAATTTAAAAATTTAGAATGGTTTTATATTTACAGTGTGCTATAGTTTGGATGCTGAATATCCTACAAAGGCCCATGTGTTAAAAGTTTGGTCCCCAGGGTAGCACTATTGGGAGGTGGCAGGAACTTTAGTAGGTGGGGCCTAATGGGAAGTTCTTAGGTCATTGGTGGAGGCTGGCCTCAAAAGGGGTTATGAGACTGTAGCTCCTTCCTCTTTTGTTTCCTGGCCATGGGCAGTTCCCTCCCCAGGAACTCCCACCATTGACATCAACACACCCACTAGCGGTCCAAAGAATGCATCCACCTGATCTTTGCCTGCAACCACCAAAACTGTGAACCCAAATGAACCTTTTCTAAGTATGTCAGATATTTCATGATAACAATGGAAGGCTGACTAACACAGAATAAAAAAAGGCAAAAAAACCCATGAAGTTCAAATTTATCAGTGCTTATCTGGGCAAAAATAAACAACAAAAAAACAAAACACAAACCCACCCAACAATGAATTGGGCAACCTCAGAAACAAAATTGGTTCTAAAAGCCCAGAGGTGCAATACAGTCCGGCAGTATTTATGGAAAGAAAATGGAAATGAGGCAAACCCACAACTTAATTGGTTAATTGCCTGCCTAACATCCATCAAACTCTGAGGTAACCCACTGAAACTCTTTGGGTACACTCCCAAGTTAGCTTCCTTAGCAGGAATGACTTCATATTGGTTTGGTCTGTCGGACCCAGTACAGAAACCTAATCCAAATCGGCGGCTCTTTCAAGTTTTATTTTACAACAGAAAAGTTGAAGAGATAATATCTTGCATTCTTTATACCCCCACCAGCGTTCCCCCTGTTATTAATTTGCTTCGCAGACAGCCCTTGGCCAATGTGCTGTCAAAGCTTACACGTTCTTGTCGTGGGCAATGCCCTCCATTCACGAGCGTTTCTCGTACTCTTTTTATGCAACAACCCCCCTGGGGCAAGAGAATAACCCGCCGCCGCCGCCCCCAGCCTCCGAGAAGATTAGAGGCAGCGTCTCGAGCGGTCAGAGCCCAGCTGCACAAACGACCCGACGCAGCCATGGACCACCGTCCACTCCCGTCAGCCCCAGAAGACCAGCCTTCGTCAGAGCCGCACCTGGAGGCAGTCGAACGATGGCGGGAAGTGGCTCCGCGGCTGTGGACCTGGCTCGAGGCGGAGTGGGCGTGCCCATGGGCGTGGCCCGCGCGCATCTGGCAGGAGGAGCAACGCGCTGGCGACCTCGGCGGCGGCTGCCACGACCGCGGCGGTTGCTGCGCCCGGTACTGGAGTCGTGGCTTGAGGCGCAGGCGCGGTGGACTCAGCCCGCCCCGGGCCTCGGCTTGCTGTGGACTCGTCATGGCGACTGAGCAAAGGCCTTTCCACCTGGTGGTGTTCGGCGCCTCTGGCTTCACCGGCCAGTTCGTGACCGAGGAGGTAGCCCGGGAGCAGGTGGCCCGGGATCGGAGCTCCCCGCTGCCGTGGGCGGTGGCGGGCCGCTCCCGGGAGAAGCTGCAGCGAGTGCTGGAGAAGGCTGCACTGAAGCTGGGTAAAGGGAAGAGATGGGACCGGGCTGCGCGGACCCCGGGTTTGACCTCACCTCAAAGCTTCCCGAAGGCCGGCGGAGGACTTAAAGTCGTCCGAACCGAGCTTTTCTCCAGGGATGCTCCCTGCATCTCCCCCCAAGCCCTGCTCGAGAACTGAAGGGAGAGAGGAATGTTTCTTATATTGTCCTGGCTTTCTGTCACCCCTAAATTAAAGAACAATTTAAAATTTTCTTTCCCCACCACTTCTGGATCTCTTCCATGGTTTGGTGAATCCCACTGTCAAAGAGTCAAGAACTTTAGTTGTTCCTTACTCTGCTTCACCCCATCTTGGTACTTGGTGGGTCTGAGGTTTCTTGATACCTATAGGTAGATAGGGCATTGATTTCTTTGAGATTGATTTTTCTACTCATCTGCTTTGTGTCTTCTGGATGGGAAAGAAAGTTAAGAATTTTACTGATATGATTGTTGTGTTTCTATTTTTTATTATTTTATTTTGGCTCTGTGCATGATCTCCCTTTGTGTTACTGAGCTACATCCACAATCCCTTATTTTTATTTTTTGTGCTTTTGGTTGTTTAGTGGTTTGGTTTGGTACTGGAGATTGAACTCAGGAGTGTTTTACCATTGAACTACATCCTCAGTCCTTTTTGTTTATTTATTTATTTAGTTTTGAAACAGGGTCTCATTAAGTTGCTGCTGTTTTTTAATTTATTTTTTGTTTGTAAGAATTGTCCAGCAATCTTATTCTTCTCTAAAAATTTTGCATTTTGGGGTTGGAGGTGGTGGCTCAGAGGCAGAGTGCTTGTCTGGAGTGTGAGGCACTGGGTTTGATCCTCAGCACCACATAAAATGAATAAAAATAAAGGTATTGTGTTCACCTACAACTAAAAAACCATTTTTTTTTGTTCTTTTGATTTGGACATTTACTTATTCTTTCAGCCCATTTAATATATATTATTGAGTGATCTTTCCCATGCTAGGTCCTGTCCAGGTGCTGTGGAGACTTGGTGGAGAGACCAGACAGACAGTCAGATCCTGCCTTCCTATTTGGGGGAGACACCTAACTTAGGACTTGATAGCCTTGAAATTTGGCTATTAATTCTCTAGACTCACCTTATTCAGAGAAGTAGCACTTGTAGCATTCTGGATATACCACATTCTTTCCATGTTCCACAAGGAACATGCTTTTAAGTAGGAATATAGAATATTTTGGTCATGGTTATATACAGAAGATAGAGAGTAGGTTAGATTCTCCTACAATTGTTAGTTGTTGCCAGTGTCAACACACAGATCTTGAGCAAAGAGCTTTTGGGCTTTATTATTTCAAAATTCTAATAATTTCACTATTTTTTTTAAAGAGAGAGAGAGAGAATTTTTTAATATTTATTTTTTTTAGTTTTCGGCAGACACAACATCTTTGTTTGTATGTGGTACTGAGGATCGAACCGGGCCGCACGCATGCCAGGCAAGCGCGCTACCTTTTGAGCCACATCCCCAGCCCATAATTTCACTATTAAAATATTTTCTTCCATTTCTTTTTCCTGCTCAACATGATGATGCAGGTACAGCCTAGCTTACCATTTAGAATGCCCAAATCAATTTATCCTGGGGAATTCACCTAGACCTGTCAAAATCTGCATTGCTTTTATTGGATCAGCTAATTCCAGTTATTTTATTTTTATGAATCTGGGTGATTTTATATAGATTGGATTTTTAAAAAAGTAGACTCAGAGTCCTCTTCTGTTCTCATAGTGTTGATCTTGACAGGCTTCTCCCACTCCCTGTAATTGATCATATATAATTGTTTAGTAGTTGATGGGAAACTATAATATAAATTTATTGGTGGAGAAAGTCATCTAGTTAGCATCCAAATTTGATTGTAAAATTGCCATGTTACACAGAGTTTTCATTTATATATTGCTGTTTTAGATGCTGTGTTAGATCCTTAGTATTAACCCTGCTTTCCTAATAGCCTTTTCCCTTTTAAATTATCTGATTGAAAACAATTTTATCTTTAGTTTGAGAAGGAGATTTAGCTTTCATCATATTAGTATATTTAGCAAATTTGCTATTAATATAAAAAAAATCTAAAATTATACTAGGAAGTGCTTTAAATGATTTGTTTTTTTATTTTAGGAAGACCGACACTGCCATCTGAAGTTGGAGTAATAATTTGTGATATCACTAACCCAGCCTCACTGGATGAAATGGCTAAACAGGCAACAGTTGTCCTCAATTGCGTAGGACCTGTAAGTAATCAACCCTTGTTTGTTTTGGAACAAATAATCCATTCATTTCCAGCAAAAGCTGGTATTTTATATTCCAGAGGAACATAAGGTCAGAGGACAGAAGAACTGGTCAAGGTCTTAACAATCTATGGGGAGTGTTCTTGTGAGGAGCAGATGGACCTGACTTGAACACTGTGAGAGAGGGAGTGACAGGCTTTCAGTGGCATATACTCAGGGAGTGTATATCGCTTTGTTATTGGTTACAGCTGTGTTGGCCAGACCCCCCACACGCTTTTTATAATATGTATATATTTTTAGTTGTAGTTGGAAACAATACCTTTATTTTATTTATTTTATGTGGTGCTGAGGATCGAACCCAGCACTTCGCACGTGCTAGGTAAGTGCTCTACCACTGAGCCACAACCCCGGCCCCTCCCCACTTTTTTTTTTTTTTTTTACTGTATGCCCCTTCAGTAAATGTGAGTTTGTATCCCCAACTTTATTTACATATTATTAGATTCTTATATTATAGAAATATATGAGTTAAAAACATACAAAAGAAACTGGGCATGGTGATGCATGCCTATAATCCCAGTGGTGCAGGGGGCTAAGATGGGTGGATTGTGAGTTCAAAGCCAGCTTCAGTAAAAGCGAGGCACTAAGACCTTGTTCTAAATAAAATACAAAATAAGGCTGGGGATGTGTCTCAGGCATCAAGTGCATCCGAGTTTATTTATTTCTTTTTTTAATTGATTTTTTAAATAAATGACAGCAGAATGCATTATAATTCATACTACACATATAGAGAACAATTTTCATATCTCTGGTTGTATATAAAGTATGTTCACACCAATTCGTGTCTTCATACTTGTACTTTGGATAATGATGTCCGTCACATTCCACCATCATTGCTAACCCCCTGCCCCCACCCTTTCCCTCCCACCTCTCCTATTCTCCCCCTCCCTACCCACTATGAATCAGTCTCCTTTTATCAGAGAAAACATTCCGCATTTGGTTTTTTGGGATTGGCTAACATCACTTAGCATTATCTTCTCCACCTCCATCCATTTACCTGCAAATGCCATGATTTTATTCTCTTTTATTACTGAGTAACATTCCCTTGTGTATATATGCCACATTTTTTTGTCCATTCATCTACTGAAGGGCATCTAGGTTGGTTCTACAGTTTAGCTATTGTGAATTGTGCTGCTATAAACGTTGATGTGGCTGTGTTCCTTTAGTATGCTGTTTTTTAAGTCCTTTAGGTATAGACTGAGAGGGATAGCTGGGTCAAATGGTGGTTCTATTACCAGTTTTCCAAGAAATCTCCATTCTGCTTTCCATATTGGCTGCATCAATTTGCAGTCCCACCAGCAATGTATGAGTGTACCTTTTTCCCCACATCCTCACCAACACTTACTGTTGTTTGTTTTCATAATAGCTGCCATTCTGACAGGAGTGAGATGAAATCTTAAGAGTAGTTTTGATTTGCATTTCTCTAATTGCTAGAGATAATGAACATTTTTTTCATAATATTTGTTGATTGATTGTATATCCTCTTCTGAGAAGTGTCTGTTCAGGTCTTTGGCCCATTTATTGATTGGATTTTTTTTTTTTTTTGGTGTTTAGCTTTGGAGTTCTTTATATACCCTAGAGATTAGTGCTGTATATGATGTGTGAGGGGTAAAAATTTGCTCCCAAGATATAGGCTCTATTCACCTCACAGATTGTTTCTTTTACTGAGAAGAAACTTTTTAGTTTGCATCCATACCATTTATTGATTCTTGATTTTTTAAAAAATATTTTTATTAGTTGTTAACGAACCTTTATTTTATTTATTTATATGTGGTGCTGAGAATTGAGCCCAGTGCCTCACACATGCCAGGCAGGTGCTCTACCATTGAGCCACAACTCCAGCCCCTTGATTTTTTTTTTTTTTTAAGAGAGAGAGAGAGAAGAGAGAAAATTTTAATATTTAGTTTTTAGTTTTCGGCGGACACAACATCTTTGTATGCGGTGCTGAGGATCGAACCAGGGCCGCATGCATGCCAGGCGAGCGCGCTACCGCTTGAGCCACATCCCCAGTCCAGCCCCTTGATTCTTGATTTTAATTTTTCCGCTATAGGAGTCTTATTAAGGAAGTTGGGGCCTAGTTTGACATGATGAAGATTAGGTCCTACTTTTTCTTCTGTTAGGTGCAGAGTCTCTTGTTTAATTCCTAGGTCCTTGATCCACTTTGAGTTGAGTTTTGTGCATGGTGAGAGATAGGGGTTTAATTTCATTTTGTTGCATATGGATTTCCAGTTTTCCCAGCACCATTGGTTAAAGAGGCTATCTTTTCCCCAATGTATGTTTTTGGCACCTTTGTCTAATATAAGATCATTTTAATTTTGTGGGTTAGTCTCTGTGTCCTCTATTCTATACCATTGGTCTACCAGTCTATTTTGGTGCCAATACCAGGCTGTTTTTGTTACTATTGCTCTGTAGTATAGTTTAAGGTCTGGTGTAGTGATGTCACCTGCTTCACTCTTCCTGCTAAGGTTGGTTCAACATACAGAAATCAATAAATGTAATTCATCACATCAATAGACTTTAAGAATCATATGATCATCTCAATAGATGCAGAAAAATTATTTGACAAAATACAGCATCACTTCATGTTCAAAACACTATAAAAACTAGGGATAACAGGAACATCTCAACATTGTAAAAGCTACCTATGCTAAGCTCCAGGCCAACATCTTTCTAAATGGAGAAAAATTGAAAGCCTTCCCCCTAAAAACTGGACCAAGACAGGGATGCCCTCTTTCATCACTTCTGTTTAACTAGTTCTTGAAACACTGGCCAGAGCAATTAGACAGAAAAAGAAATTAAAGGGATATATATAGAAAAGAAAAACTTAAATTAGCAATGTTTGTTGACAATATAATTCTATACCTATAAGACCCAAAAAGTTCCACCAGAAAACTTCTAGAACTGGTAGTAAATGAATTTAGCAAAGTAGCAGGATATAAAATCAACACCCATAAATCAAAGGCATTTCTGTATATCAGTGGCAAATTCTCGGAAAGGGAAATGAGGAAAATTGCCCCATTTACAATAGCCTCGAAAAAAATAAAATACTTGGGAATCAATTTAACGAAAGAGGTGCAAGACATCTACAATGAAAACTACGGAACCCTAAAGAAAGAAATCAAAGAAGACCTTAGAAAATGGAAAGATCTACCTTGTTCTTGGATAGCAGAATTAATATTGTAAAAATGACCATACTACCAAAAGCACTATACAGATTTAGCAATTCCAATTAAAATCCCAATGGCATTTCTTATAGAAATAGAAAAAGCAATCATGAAATTCATCTGGAAAAATAAGAGACCCAGAATAGCTAATGCCTCTGAGTTTAATACCTGGTACCAAAAAAAAAAAAAAAAAAAAAAAAAAGAGAGAGAAACTAAAAAAAGGAGTCATTTATTTATTCAGAAATATTTATTGAATACTTCATGTATATAAAATGCACTATGTTAGGCAACTGGTATACAATGGTGAACAAAATCTTTTGTGGAACTAAAATTTTTGTGGTGCAGACAGAAAAATAAGATTATAATAGTGGACTGGGTATGATAATACATGCCTGTAAACCCAGCAACTCAGAAGGTTGAAGTGGAAGAATCCCAAATTTGAGCCAATCTGGCAACTTAGCAAGACCCTGTCTCAATATAAAAAATTAAAAGGACTCGGGATTGTAATTCAGTGGTAAAATGCCCCTGGGTTCAATCCCTAGTACAAAAAAATTATAATAGTAGGTAGTGTGGTAAGTGTTTTGAGGAAGAATGAAGCAAGGAGATAAAGAGAATGGCCCATCAGTTTCTTTTAGATGGATGATCAGGGAAGGTCTCTGAAAAATGACATTTGTGTAGAAATTGGAATGAAGTAAAAGGTTAAACTGTATTCAAGGAGAAGCATATTCTGGGGAGAGCAAATACAAAGGTCCTGAGATGAGTCTGTGTCTAGTAAGACTAAGGAATGTAAGAAAAGACATTGGCTGAGACCTCTGGAGCAAGGCAGAGAGGTGAAGGTGGATTGAAGTGTTAGGTCATGTAGAATCTTATAGCCCATGGTCAGGATTGGGAGTTTTCTCTAAGTATGACCAAGAGTCATTGAATGGTTGAAAGCAAGGATGTGATCTGATTTAATTTTGAAGTTCTTTTTCATCTGAGAGGAAAAATAAATAAGGGCCAATCAGTAGAATGGTCCAAGCACCAGGGTAGTAGTACAAGTGATAAGAAGTGCTTGGGTTCACAGTATATTTTGAAAGGAGAACAGCTTGTGCTATTGTGCTAGATATGAAAGAGAGGCATCAAGAATGACATCTAGACTTCTGGCCTGTAACAAGGTAAATGATGATGACATTTATTGATTGATCTGAAGAAGCCATCACAATTGGCAAGCTATTTAAAAACTGAGCATTTAAACAATTACTACTTTTTTTTTTTTTTTTGTACTGGGGATTGAATGCAGGGATGCTTTCTCACTGAGCTACATCCCCAGCTCTTTTTTAAGACAGGGTTTTGCTAAGTTGCCGAGGCAAGCCTTGAACTTGTCATCCTCCTGCTTCAGCCTCCCAAACTGCTGGGATTACAGGCATGTGCTACCACACCTGACTGCCGCAGTCTGGCTGGGCACAATCAGGAGCCACTTGTCAAAAGAAACTAACTTTATTTTTAGAACCACACACGCCAAACAAAACAGCCTCTCAGGAAAAACCCTCAGAGCCTCAACTGCCACCACCGGCTTTCCACAAGCCTCTCTCTCCCACACAAGCTTCTCTCCCCCTCCCACAATCCTCCTGCTCTTGAGGCCGATTGGCTGGGTCACGTGGGCGGAGCCAAAAAAGTCCCCCAATGAGCAGCTCCGTGGTCTGAAAGGGCAGGGAAACAGTCCAATGAGCATCACCGCAGAGGAGCCAATCAGCTAGATGTTGCTGGGGCCGAGGAGCCAATCAGCTAGATGTTGCTGGGGCCGCTGTGAGCCAATCATCAGCTGGCAGCTGGAAGTTTGCTGGGGCCCCTTTGGCTGTGGCTCTCAACACCTGACACTATTAATAATTTAAAAAATTGAAATCAAAAAGGTTTTTTGTATTGTTATTAAATAAATATGCATTTGAAATATTCTTTATGTAGTTTTATTTTTAACTAGTTTAGATTATGTCCATTAAGTCCATTGCTGTAATTACTCTGTAATATACACCTTCAACTAGCTCCCTTGATCTTCTTTCTTCACTTTTCTTGAAAAAACCCAACCTTGATTATTCTAATTCTCTAAATCTTTAGGTAAACATAAGTAACCCAATGTGGCTGGATAAAAACACATCCCATGTTGACTGGTCTTGTTTCAAATATATACTTAGAAGCATTTTGTGGGCCTCTGTTCCCCAGCAATTCTACATTTTCATGGCTGTTCTCTTTCCTACTCTATCAAGCAGTAGGTTTACAACTTCTCTTTCCTCATGCTTGGAGCATGTCTTCTTTCCCCCTCATTTTTATTTGATGACTGAATGTCTCTTTCTCTCTGTTTCATTCTTTCTCTCATTCTATTGTGAGAAAAGAAACTGACAGAACAGAATTTTGTCATCTTTATCCCACTAGATCTACCTACATACCTGTCTACCCACTTACCTGTATTGTACCCAAACTGCTGCTATCCCTATTGGGCACAGTATTCCAAGACTTTATGTTTATAATTTTCTTGTCTTTATTGGATTACTTAGCAGATTTTCACGTGTATTGGATTATTTCTATCAGCATTTAAATATATAATTACAACTTCCATACCCTTCCAACTACTCCATACCCTTCCAACTACTCCATTTTGTCATGTACTGTTTAAAGCAAAACTCCTTGACAGACTTTTCATTACTCACTACCTCCATTTTCTTGCTTCCTACTTTATTTTAAACTACTCTGTCAGGCTTTATCCTTCCTACTTGAGTGGGTAGAGAGTCCCATCCTGTCAAATCCGACCATCAGTTCCCAGTCTTCATCTTAAACCTCTTGGCATGAGCCAGTTGATCATTTCTTCCTTTCTTTACTTGGGTTTATGAGTTTTCACCTTCTTCTAGTTTTCCTCCTGTCCACCAGCTTTATCTGTCTTCTCTTTTGGACCTTTTTATCCTCCTCCCTCTAAATGCCTGAGGTCTTAGAGCTCAAATCTTAGAAACTCTTCTCTGCAGGTTGTGAGTAAACACACAGTAGGTTGCAATATGCTAAAAATGAATGAATGAATGAGGGTGCTGTTGTGGCCCCCTGTGTGTTGTAGAACTCTCCAGGCTTCTCATGATACCTGTTGCATCCTATATTTGATACTTGACCACTTAACATGTGCTATTCCCTCAGTCCATATATTAAATATTTTTTTAAAATATTTTTTTAGTTGTTGACAGACCTTTATTTTATTTATTTTTATGTGGTGCTGAGACTTGATCCCAGTTGCCTCACACATGCCAGGCAAGTGTACTACCACTGAGCCACAACACCAGCCCCCAAATATTAACTGTTAATAAAACTTTACTTTTTCTTTCTGTTTCTTATAAGAAAATAGCATGAATTAAAGTTCTTATATTTACCTCCATACTCAGAAGATCATTTTGTATACCTCCTGCAGAACTACTGGGTTAGAACATGGAACACTGGGAGCAGGATTATTGTAAGCTCGTTGGCTTCACAGTAAGAAATGTCAGCTGAGATCAAGGATTGTTATTCTTTCTCCACTTGCTCCATACAAACACAAGGCACTAAATAAAGCAAAATATAACAATATAATAAGATAGGGATAAGATTGTGGGAAGTCTCAGCCTTAGATTAACTGGTAGAGAAGTGGGCAAGGTATAACAAAATACGATGGAAGGAATGGATGGATTATAGCAAATAGGAAAATACATACTCTTTCTGTAAGGAACTGCTGCTATTTTTAAAAAGCTCATTAATGCTTCACTGCAGCTTTCCAGTACTTGTAGAGAATTGACTAGCTGGAAGACTGTGGCTCACTAGTTGAGACTTAATAAGTGATGAGTCCTTAAGATCGAGCCTGGAGGAGTTGGGAGTCAGGCAGGTGTTTAGCAGAGGGAAAATGTTGTAAGTAGCAGAAATAAACATGAGGTTTGAAGAACCAGCATGTAGGGAATTACAAAGAGTTTAGGATCGCTGGAAGTGGGAATTAAGGGGCTGTGGTGTTACATGATGAGATCTTTACAAAATGTTGAGAAGTTTGGACTTAAACTATATAATACAGACACTAGAGAGCTAGTGAGATTTGTTGGGGGTGGGGGGGTACTTGGGATTGAGCCCAGGGATTCTATGCCACTGAGATATATTCTTAGCCCTTTTTATTTTATTTCTTAATTTTGACACAGGTCTTGCTAAATTGCTGAGGCTGGCCTGAAACTTGAGATCCTCCTGACTCAGTTTCCAAAGGCAAGCGCCACTTCCTACATAACCACCGTGCACTTCAGTTACAAAGAATAGCTTCCTTTAGTTATAACTTTATATTTTCCTTTATTTGGGGTTTTCTTTTTCTGGCAAATCTTTATTCTTTAGGATTCAACTCAAGTAAATTACTTCCTGTCTAAAATATTCCATTTTAGAGAAATGGAATGTTTTAGAGAAGTTAAGACTTCAGTTAGAGGTAAGCATACATTCCTGTATAATTCATCATGCGTGTATTTATTTATACCAACAGTGGTGGTATAATACAGTTGTCTTATTTTCTCAATTTATTTTAGGCTCTTTTATTCACATTTGATTTGGGGATAACCAAGATTGTACTTTCAAAATTAAATGTCCTTTGCTTCAGTGAAAGCTTGCCAAGTAAGAGTAACCTGTTTTTTTTCTTTATTTCCCCAGTATCGATTTTATGGAGAACCTGTAGTAAAAGCATGTGTTGAAAATGGAACTAGCTGTATTGACATCTGTGGAGAACCTGAGGTATGTAAAATAAAAAAAAAAAAAAAGCAGAATTAAACACTTGTGATTTCCTGTTTAAGGCAGTAGAGAATATTTAGTGCAATTTTGTGGTTGTATTTTGAAGTCATTGATTCCTTTCTAGTATTTAAAGACAGTATTCCATTGATAGCTTAAAGGAGATCACTAATGGTAAGGTCTTAGCTTTAGTTTTCTTGAATTTTTTTCTTCTCCCTGACCACCTCAGTTATTTTATTTGTATATAGGATGTGCTGACTTTTTTTTTTAATAGATAATGCTGTAAGCTGAGTTAATTAAAATAGTGTTCTATATGTGATTCTCAGAATCTTACTTTTTAAACTTCTTCATTAGCAATCCCTTTTTAAAATCAGGTACCTTTACAATGTTATAGAAAAATAAATGTAAAATCCCCTCAACCTAAAAATTATAAATGGGGGGCTAGAACTGTAGGTTAGTGGTAGAACGTTTGATTACCATGCAAGAGGCCCTTGTTTCAATCCTGAGTACCAAATGAATAAATAAAGATTCACATTTATTAAATACTTGCCATACACCCAACCCTATGCTAAAAATGTTAGGTATATTTTTCAAAATTTACCTGTAAAGTAGTTATCATCTTCATCTCTCTTTTATAGATAAAGAAGTTAAAGCTTGAAAGGTTAAATAACTTGCTCAGAGTCATACAACTCTGATGAACTAGGACTTAAGATTTATTTAACTACAAGAAGCCAAGTGTTAAACTGGCACTAAGCTGCACTACCATCTTTAAAATGGTAACTTCACATGTTCTGTAGTCTCTATTGATTATTGTCATTAATATGCCAATATAATCTATACTTAGAGATTATCAATTGGTAATATATATTAGAAAATACTAGGAAAGTATAAAATTGATTCAGAAAGAGGTAGGAAACATGAATTAAATAACAAAACAACAACAACAACAAAAACAATTCCTGTATTATTTAACATAACCCAGAGCATAGAAAATAGTGAAAAACTTCTGTTGACTTATAAGCTACCATAAAAGTAGTATCAAAACTTAATAGGGCTGGGGGCCACTCAGTCATAGAATGCCTGTCTAGCCATTTGTGAGATCTTGCTTTAAATTTAAACCCCAGCACTGCAAAACAAACAAACTAAAAAAACATAATAAAGGTTCAGAATATATAGAGAACTTTTACAAGTCAATAATGGGTTTACAAAGAACCCAGTTTAAAAATGGGCAGAGTGATGAGAAGAGATAGAAGAATTCTAAATGATTTATATAGCTACTATGCCCTCAGGACAAGTAAATAATTTTACAGTGGAGAAAGCCAGCAAACACCACCTTAGCTAGGTATTAGAGGTCAGTATCAACACTAGTAAATCATGTGGATAAGATGTAGCCTTGATACATCATGAGAATTACATCTTGCCCCTGTGGTCTTCTTCCAAAACCCATAACCCCTATTTAATTGTAAGAAAAGCAAGAGGTAAATTCCCTTAGAAAGCCATTCAGCAAAATATCTAACTAGTATTCATTGTTTGAGGCAATTTATACTATTAATCCTGACTTTATCATTGTTTCTTGTATTAATGTGTCGATATGTCACACTGCAACCCATTAATATGTCTAATAATTTTGTCTATTAAAAATAAAATTAAAAATTAATTAATGACATAAAAAACAAGGGAAGGGTTGAGAAACTGTCATAACCAATAGGAGCCCAAGGAGGCATGACAACTAAATGCAATGTGGCATCCAGGATGGGACCTTGGAATGGAAAAAAGATATTAGGTAACAACTAAGAAAATCTGAATTAAATATGAACTTTTAATGTGTTGCTACTGAGCCCCATATTGGTTAGCGTTTTTCAATATAATTTCTTTGTCTTTAAAGATAAATCATTTAATATTTATCGTAGTGTTTCTATAAACTGATTCAAATTCTTGTCCTGAATTTTTTAGTTTCTGGAACTAATGTGTTTGAAGTATCATGAGAAAGCTGCTGAAAAAGGGGTTTATATCATTGGAAGCAGTGGCTTTGACTCCATTCCAGCAGATCTGGGAGTAATATATACCAGAAATCAAATGAACGGTAATTATTGATCAATAAGCAGTACTTGAATTTAACAACAGAAGAGCTTCAAGTTTATAATTATGATAAACCAAAATCTACTTTGGAAAAGAAAATAGCTATAAATGGGCAATATTAAAACACATGCTTTGTTTTTAATATAGCCACACTTTTAATAAAATACTTTGACACTATTATTGAGGCATGGTAGTAATTTAAGTGTTCAAAAATGAGGAATTGTCCAATGTCTCAATTTAGTTATTAGGTAACTGAAATGTGAAATGTCTGTTAAAATTTTTTTGGTAATTATGGTAAATTCAGTCTTGCCTGTGTATGACTTAATACAATTTACACATGCATTATAATTAAAAGATTTGGGGCTGGTGGTATAGAGTGGTAAAGTGGTAGAGTGCTTGACTAATGCAGTTAAGACCCTGGATTTAATTCCCAGCATTGAAAAACGTTTTGAAGTTTTAACCATCAAAGCTAAAACATTAAACATAGAGTTTGGTGTCTTTTAAATCCTGTTATAAACTGTTGACAATTATTTAAGACGAGAGAAAATTGTCAATATTAGAGTAATGTCATGCGTATTTTAAAGGTGTCTGCTGGGACACACGACTAATCTGGTCAGGGTGTCACTCCAGGAGAAGTGGGTTGGCACAAAATAATGACACAAAGACAGAGAAACACCTTTTTCTTTGGGTTCTGCGATGGCCTCTCTGACCCAGCTCCCGCCAAGGAGGCAAGGTAGGCAAGAAAGAGAGGGAGCACCTCGAACCCAGGTTTTATTAATGGGGGGAGCTAATCCATGGAACATCCTATCCAAAAAAAGAGCAGAAGGGTAGAATTACAACAAACAGGTGGGTGTAATTCAACCCCATCAAGTGACACCCACTCCCAGAGCTGCAACTTTCTTATCCCAATGGAGGTAAAGTCCAGTTGCATTGCAGGGTGCGATACCAGTCCAGTACCTCTTTACTCAGGACTTAAAAGTGTGTGCGCAGTCCCCAACAGATGTCTATTTAGAAAATGACGTGAAACCAATAATTTTAGAGCTGTATAGACTGTTGTGGAACTTAAAATAGATGGAAAATGTTGCTATATAAAATTTTAATGAATACCCAGTGGGTTTTTATCAGGGATTGAACTCAGGGGCACTCAACCACTGAGCCACATCCTCAGCCCCATTTTTGTATTTTTATTTAGAGATAGGGTCTCACTGAGTTGCTTAGCACCTCACTTTTGCTGAGGCTGCCTTTGAACTTGCAACCTTACTGCTTCAGCCTCCCAAACCACTGGGATTACAGGCATGCACCAACATGCCTGCACCTATGTGGTCATTTTAAAAGAATGATAAGGCAAGGTCAGGACATTAAGGAAGCTACAGCCATCGAATTAGAAGATCAGAGGAGAAAAGCCCATTTCAGTGTACGATTTGGAATTTTAAAAATGCATGCCTTTTTTGATGTTGGATTTTTAGGAATTTAGGAATAGAATACTTTTTTTACATAATAAACATCAGAAAGAAATAGCAGTGTTGGAAATGTTGCTTAGCATACATGAGTTTTTGGGTTCGATCCCCAGCACTGCAAAAAGAAAAAATAGAAATTTTCTTCATGATAATCTTATGTATTTGTTATTGAAGTCATTCCTAATTATATAATAGTTTTTATTATGAATAGGTGGTTTTTTTTTCTTGTTAAGGGAGAAATAGATTCTAAAACCTAGAAGTAAGCGTTTTCACAAGTACCTTTGCTGATTTTTGATAGGGTGGTGCCCATTTTATTACACATGCCACAGGTGTTTTGTGTTCTTTCTGTGGCTAGGGTTAGATCACAGAGCCAAATACCTTGCTACTTTCTGTTAGCAGCCCTCAGAAACATCTTCAGTGAGTTATACTTTTATGATCTCTTCTGGATTTTTGCTAGTGATCATGCTGAAATATTTATATGGCCATAGTTCTGTTCTGCTGTAACATCTTAAACATCTTTGTTGATAACGTATTTGTTACCTTGCTCAGTGTCCACTTTGAAAGGCCCAAATTAAAAAGTTTTCTCTTGGAATTAAAACCAGGAACTATTTCTTAAGGAATGGATATTTTTTATTTTGTCAAATTCTGAGAGTTAGCTATCCCATTTTGTATTGTTTTGGTTTTACATTAAACTCAAGAAACTCAAATATTAAATACTTAAACACTATACTTATGTATTATCTTCATCATTAATACAATTGATTTCTTCCCTTTTTTGGCTTTGGTTTTTAGTTTTTATATTTATTGTATATATATTTTATTTTAACAACTTTGTTTTAAATATTTTATAAGCCATCATAAAGAGTGTTTTATTAGTTTTTGTAAACTTTTGTTATAAACCACTACTAATAAGCCCTTGAAAGCTATTATATTTAAATACAAAATAATTTCGATAGATCTGAGTTTGAGAACTGTGTGATGAGCCTTTCAGAATGAGTGAGTTAAGTTGTTGCTTATCAGGGAAGTTTCTTAACATTGTCACTGTAAATACTAGAAAAGATTTTGTCAGTACTAGCAGTTAGCTTTATGGTAAATAACCCTTTCTGACAGTTTACCCTATATTAACTGCTTCTTAATTATGTGTATAATAACATCACAAAACTGATATCTGTATAGATTTTCTGATTATATAAGCTGTAGGCTTAGTTGGTCCTTAAGTGTGAATAGTTTATTACTTATCCTTGCCGAATAATTTAGATTTTGTTTGACTTTAGTTTCACCATTTTCCTATTATTTTAGGTACTTTGACTGCTGTGGAAAGTTTCCTTACTGTACATTCAGGACCTGAGGTTAGTTTTTCTGTTTTTCAAGTGTTTTTTTAAAGTTAATAGAGAAACTTACTAAGTACTGGGCCATTTGGCCATTCTTGAGTCAATAAATCAGAAACATTTTGGAAATGAATGATGTATGTCTCTTTAAAAAAAAGATTTAGATTAATTAAATATTATATATACTTGTAATATTTACTCTGTGTCACTATGTTTAACTTTAAATAGTAAAGACTAAATTATTTTGACTTAAAATATATATTTTATTTATTTATTTGGTACCAGGAATTGAACCCAGGGGCACTTAACCACTGAGCCACATCTCTAGCCCTTTCTATATTTTATTTAGAGACAGGGTCTCACTGAGTTGCTTAGCACCTCACTAAGTTGCTGAGGCTTCCTTAGCTTCTTGAGCTGCTGGAATCACAGGCATGCACCATTGTGCCTGGCTAAAATATGTTTATTTTAAAAACACCTGTACAATTTATTAGAATGAGTCCAACATTAAAGCATTTTTCATTTATTGCTGTTGATCAAGACAACTATTAACTTAGTGCAAGTTAGTGTATTTTTATTAGATACTGTTGTGACCATAAAGACATTTGAGGGACTGGGGCTGGGGCTTAGTGGTAAAGCATAAAGGGCTCACCTAGCACATCCGAGGTGCTGGGTTCAATCCTCAGCACCACAAAAAATAAATAAAGACATTGTGTCCAACTACAACTAAAAAAAAAGTTAAAAAAAAAAAAGAAATTTGAGGTAAATCTAGTCCTACAAAATTTATAATCTGTTTGGGAACAGAAGATAATTACATTTCTGGGAAAGGATTATAGTTTATGACAGTATTTTTATTACCAGTAGCACCTAACTCAATTCTAGGTTAGGCTTCATAAGTATTTGTTCTTTTTAAAATATATTTATTTAATAAATATTGTGTAGTAGTACAAATATATATAGAAAGGCAAGGTAAAAATGACATATAGATGAATAAGATGCAAGCCCTGCATAGGTTATAATTTAGTTTGGGAGGAGATAGAAAGTGTTATTGAAGTGATGTGGTGAAATTCAGTAGGTTTCTGAGAATATAAAGTTCGTCTGGTTAGGGGCCAGAGATCAAGAACTTTCTGGAGAAGCTGGGTATGGGGGTTATGGACTGAATTTCAGGGGCTGGTGCTATGGAGATGTGAAGAAGAGGAAATGTATGTTGAGCATCCCTAATCTGAAAATTTGAAATCCAGAGTGCTTCAAAATCTGAAACTTTTTTTTTTTCAACACAATGCCTTTATTTTTATGTGGTGCTGAGGATTGGAACCCGGGTCCCGCCTGTGCTAGGTGAACACTCTACCGCTGAGCCACAATCCCAGTCTCCCAAATCTGAAACTTTTGATCATGAACATGATACTCAAAAAGTTTGGATTTCAGAGCACTTCAGATTTTGAATATGGAATGCTATGTAAAATGAGTAAATAAATGAAGAAGAAAAAACTTGAAACACCTCTGGTCCCAAGCATGTGGGATAAGGGATACTAACTTGTAATAAGACAAAGGCACAAAGATGGAATGACCTGAAGCATGTTTAGGTAAGAGTGATGATTCTGTTCATCTGAATTGTGGTTAAAACCATTAGCTTTAGAAACAAAGATTAAATGAAAATAAAGAGCTTTAGAAAATATGCTTATGTTTGTGTTTATCTGCTAGAATGTAAGAATAAAAGGAAGTGAGAGTGGGCCTGAGTAATTTGGGAATGCCTCATAGAGGCCTTACTGACATTAGCTTTGAAAAGTGAATAGCTTTTGGAAGGTCAGAGGCAGCAGTCTGAACAAAGGCCCAGAAACAAGAATGAGAAGGGCTTTAAAAACCCAACAAAACAAAAAGCCATTTATTGATTTGTATGACCAAATGTCTGCAAATGTCTGCAAATATCTCACTGGGTCTCAGTGTTTAAGGATATTGTCCAAACTCTTTTTCTCTTCCTCTTTTTGTTTTTCTTTCTTTCTGGCTCCCCCCAGCATCCCCGGCCCCAGAGGCTTTCAAGCAGGCATGGAAGGTGCTGGCAGCCCTAAGTACATGTTGGTTCATGGTTTCCTAGGAAGAGCTACCAGAGTTTACATATCAAATCAAATGATAGAGAAACTTACTAAGTACTGGGCCATTTGGCCATTCTTGAGCCAATAAATCAGTGGAACCTGGGTCATGGAGTAATGGATTGCCCAGGTCTAGGTCACCTGAAGCTGGTATGATAGGGTCAACCCCATTTAAACAGCACTAAACAGGTTCCAAATAGGAAAGAGAGTTGTACAAACAGAAGGTGGGACAAGAGGCTGTAGGAAATTAGTGCAGGACTGACAAAAAGCAGATGGTTATTACAGGGAAATGGTGAGAAAATTGGTAGAGCTAGATAGAGGCTTTCTTTGAAAGAGCAGCAGGAGATGTCATTAGAAAAACCAGGTAGATCTAATGATGGTCTCTTCCCTTTACTAGAAGCAACAAAAGAACTTTTGAGTGGTTGGTTCTTACAGAATCAAGAATCTTTTCATCAAAATGTTAAGAGTACAGGTTTTGGAGCTGGATTCCCTGAGCTTAAATTCTGGCTCTGCCACTTATCAGTGATGTGATGAGCAGTTTATTTATTCTAATGTGCCTCATTTTGTTCATATATAAAATATAATTAGGGGACTGGGGTTGTGGCTCAGCAGTAGAGTACTCACCTCGCTTGTGTGGGGGCCCTGGGTTCCATCCTCAACACCACATAAAAATAAATAAAATAAAGGTATTGTGTCCAACTACAACTAAAAAATAAATATTAAAAAAAGATAATGAGTGTTTACTTCATATGGTACTATGAAGATTAAATTATTCAATGAATACCAATTAAAACCTGCTCTGCACTTAGTAATTACTCAATAAATATTTTGTTATTATTAATATAAGGAATTAAGTGAAGACAGAATAGTTGCAGCATATACATCATGGCAGTTTCCCTTTCTCATTTCCTTCAAAGTAAAATACAGAGCCTTGATTTCACAAAGATGGAACAGAGATATTTTTCCTTGATTCTGTTTAGTCCTTTGGCATTAGACAGACTATTATTCTCCTACCATCCCTTATCCAACATTTTACCCCTATTTTTACATAAGAAAATTGTTAATCATAGGCTATAACTAGGACATAGAGGACGACTCAAAGAAATGCAGAGAATTGAGGGGCTGGGATTGTGGCTCAGCAGTAGATCACTCATCTAGCACGTGTGAGGTTCGATCCTCAGTACCACATAAAAATAAAATAAATACAATAAAGATATTGTGTCCAGTTACAACTAAAAAATAGATATTTAAAAAAAGAATTGCAGAGGATTGAAATTATATATTGTAGGGCAGTGCTACCCACTAGATCTTCCCACAGTGATAGACATATTCCATATATGCCATATGGTGGCCAACATACTGGATAGTTTAGTCTAAAGTTATACTAGAACCCATCCCTGTTTTTACGTGGCTGAAAACTAAGAATGGTTTTTACATTTTCAAAGGAATGTCACAAAAAAACAAAGAAGAATATGCACCAGAAATCATATGTGATCTATAAAACCTAAAATATTTACAGTCCTTTACAGAAATGGTTTGAGAACCCCTGCTCTAGTATTTTAGTCTGTAATGCAGTTATACTAGAAATCAATAATGAGATCACAAGAAAACTCAGACCTTTTCTTAACTTGCCTAACTGACATCTCTTTTTGGACACTGGGTAGATATCTCAAAGTGTACTTGTCCACAATGGAACTTCTGTTTTCCCTTTCCATATGTGCTTTAACCCACAGCTTATTTGTAACTGTTAATGCCAAATGGTGGAGTGTTTGCTAACTGCTTTCTCTGAAACCCACATCCAGTCTGTCAGGAAATCCATTGAATTTACCTTGAAATATGTGAAAATCTTTTTTTTTTTTAACCCCTTCTCTTACTACCACCCTATTCTTGGTACTGCTTGTTCCCCTACAGTCTGTTCTCTACGCAACAGCCACAGTGACCTTTTTTTAAAAATAGGGTCTCACTATGTTGCCCAGGCTGGCCCACAGCTTTTGGGATCAAGTGATTCTCCATTCTCCTCCCCAGTTGGCTACATAGTGACCCTTTTAAATATAACCCAGACCATGTTACTCCTTCGAATTCTTTAGTGACTCCTTGTTACATTCAGTAGGAAAGCCAAAATCCTTACCATAGTGTGCATAGTTAGAAGTGATTTGGCTCTAGTGGCCTCTCTAGCCTTCTCTTCCAGTTTGCCCTTATTCATTGTTTTCCAGTTATGCTGACTTCTGTGCTTCTCTTGAACACACTAGCACACTTCTGCCTTAGGGCTTTGTATCAGTTGTTTTCTTTGCCTGCAAAGGGTTCTCCAAGATATTTGCATGACTCTTTCCTTTTTAATCTTATCTCAAATGTCATTCCATTAATGAATGTTCAGAGCTTATCCTGCCTACATTCCCAGCTTTTTTTTAATCTGCTCTCCTTTTTCTCCTTTCTCATCCCCTGAATTCTACATATTTTCTGCCAATTTTATCATTCTCTCTAGAATGTGAACACTACAGAAGGATAAATCTTTCTGTTTAATTCATCAAGCACTTAGAACAGTGCTGAACACATAATAGCAGCTCAATAAGTGTTTGTTGAATGAATCGAGTGGACCAGAATAGTGTAACCTTGGTTCCAAAACCCTGTAAGAGCAATTCTGCAATGTAAAAAAAAGTTAATCCATCTCATAGGAACTTAGAAGTAAACCTTTACCAAAATATTAGTGATTAAAACCAGTAATATGTAAAAAGAATAAACATTTTGACCAATTTGGTTTTAGAGCAGGAATGCAAAGTTTAACATTCTCTAATCTCTCCAATTCACCTCATTAACAAGCAAAAGGGGTGGAAATCACAAGATCATCTCAAAAGAGAAAAAGTATTTAGTAAAATATAGTATCCATTCATGATTAAAACTTAGAGCAAAACTAGGAGTAGAATGGAATATTTAAAAAAAAAAAAGCAATAACAAATATGAAACCCAGTGTTTAACATTGAAAATTTTGCTTTGAGATCAGGAATAAAATATTGATGCCCACTATCCAGCCAGATCCTAGCCAGAGCAGTAAGGTAGGAAAACAGAAATTAATTGTATATAGACTAGAAGGGAAGAAAAAATACTGTTTTCTGCAGATGACATAATTGTGAATGTAGAAAATTAAAAAGGATATACAGGTAATATTTGAATGAATAAAAGAGTCTTATAAATTACTGGAAAAACTAATTTTCAAATAAAGTCATACTTTTAGGTATTGGGAGTAATAACTTCATATATGAAGTCTTAATGTAACCTATAATAGTATCTTTTTAGGAATTTTTCCATTTTATCTGGGTTATCTAATTTGTTGGCATAAAATGATTTATTGCACTTATTGATTTATTGAACTCCCTAGTGCTTCTATTCATTTTTATAAAGTCAATATGCCTTTTATTTCTGATTTTAGTAGTTTGAGTGTCAATACCCATCCCCCCCCCCTCTCTCTCTCTCTCTCTCTGTGTGTGTGTGTGTGTGTGTGTGTGTAGTCATTCTTTCTAAAATTTGTCAAATTTATCGATCTCTTCAAAGAGCCAACTTTTTGGTTTCATTGATTTCTACTCCAGTTTATTGTTTCTGGATATGAAACTAACATAAAAATCAATTATTTTCCTGTATGCTCGTTATAGCTAGAGAATGAAATTTTTAGCCCGACGTGGTGGTACACACTTGTAATCCCATCTACTTGGGAGGTTGAGGCAGGAAGGTTGCAAGCTCAGGGCCATCCTACACAACTTGGTGAGACCCTGCAAAATTAAAAAAAAAAAAGGTGGGGGGAGGGCTAGGAAAGTAGCCCAATTATAGAGTGCTCCTGAATTCTGTCCCTAGTCCTTAAAAAAAGAAAAAAATGATGGGACAATTCAGTATCTCTTTGGGAAAAGAAAAAGTTAAATTGGTTTGAGTTATGGACCTAAATGTGCAAGTCAACAATAAAGCTTTTAGACTATGACCTATTTCATGGCCTCACACCAGGAATGACATCTTAAAAGAGACACAGAGACATAATATAAGAAAAAATGATAAATTTATATAGATTTAAAATTAACAATGTTAATTTTAAAAAAAAGCCCCATTAAGAAAGTGAAAAGGAAAGCAATCCTTAGCAAGAAAAGTAAAGTAGGAGGCATCACAATACCAGACCTTAACCTATACTACAGAGCTGCAGTAATAAAAACAGTATAGTACTGGCATCAAAATAGACTGTAGATCAATGGTATAGAATAGAGGACACAGAGACAAACCCACATAAATACAGTTTTCATACTAGACAAGGGTGCCAAAAACATTCACTGGAGAAAAGATAGTCTATTCAATAAATGGTGCTGGCAAAACTGGAAATTCATATGTAGCAAAATGAAATTAAACCTCTATCTCTCACCCTGCACAAAAATTAACTCAAAGTGAATCAAAGACTTAGGCACTAGAATAGAGACTCTACAGCTAATAGAAGAAAAAATAGGCCCAAATCTTCACCACGTTGGCTTAGGATCTGACTTCCTTAACAAGACTCCTAAAATCAAGAATCAATAAATGTGATGGATTCAAATTAAGAAGTTTCTTCTCAGCAAAGGAAACAATCAATAATGTGAGGAGAAAGCCTACAAATTGAGAGAAAATCTTTATCACATGCACCTCTGATAAAGCATTAATTTCTAGGATACATAAAGAACTCAAACAACTTAATACCAAAAAACAAAACAAAACAAAAAAAAACCAAATAACCTAATCAATAAATGGGCTAAGGAACTGAACAAAAAGAAATTCAATTGATCAACATATACATGAAAAAGTGTTCAATGTCTCTAGCAATTAGAGAAATGCAAATCAAAACTACTCTGATTTCATCTCACTCCTGTCAGAATGGCAATCATCAAGAATACAGGCAGCAATAAATAAGTATTGGCAAGGATGTGGGGGAAAAGGTACACTCATACATTGCTGGTGGGACTGCAAATTGGTGTAACCACTATGGAAAGCAGTGTGGAGATTCCTCAGAAAACTGGGATGGAACCACCATTTGACCCAGCTATCCCACTCCTTGATTTATATCTAAAAGACTTAAAATCAGCATACTACACTCCAGTAATACAGCCATGTCAGTGTTTATAGCAGCTCAATTCACAATAGCTAAACTATGGAACCAACCTAGGTGTCCCTCAATACATGAATGGATAAAGAAAATGTGGTATATATACTCAATGGAATATTACTCAGTTTTAAAGAAGAGTGAAATTATGGCATCTGCCAGTAAATGGTTGGAGTTGGAGAATATTATGCTAAGTGAAATAAGCCAATCCCACAAAACCAAAGGCCAAATGTTTTCTCTAATATATGGATGCTAATTCACAATAAGGCGGGGGACAGTAGGGAAGAATAGTGTCTTAGATTAGTAGAGGGAATTGATGTGGGGATAGGAAAGATAGTAGAATGAAACAGACATTATTACTTTATGTATATATGTGACTACATGACCAATATGATTCTGTAACATGTACACTCAGAAAAGTGAGAAATTATATCCCATCTATGTATAATACATATCAAAGACATAAATGCATTCTACTGTCATGTATAACTAATTAAAACATAAAAAATTAAATCCCTAAATTAAAAAAAAGTTCTTGAGATCAGTGTACATGTGTGAATCTGTAACAATGAATGCCACTATTATGCATAGTTATAAGACACCAATAAAAATATATGCATAGATAAATAAATAAAAAAGAAAGAAAGTGAAAAAGCCAGCTGTAGAATAGGAGTTACCTGCAACACATGAAGAATCCTGACATCACAATTTTGAACATAGGAAGCTAACTCTAATATATTTTGCATGATTCCATTTCTGTAAAATTTAAAACTGGCAAAACTAATTATACTATTTAGAGATGATTACTTAGGTGGTAAAATTCTAAAGAAAGAGCTGGGTGCAGTGGCACACACGTGTAATCCCAGAAGCTGGGGAAGCTGAAGCAGAAGGATCGCAAGTTCAAAGGCAGCCTCAGCAAAAGCGAGGCACTTAGCAACTCAGTGAGACTCAGTGATATAAAATACAAAATAGGGCTGGGGGTGTGGCTTAGCGGTCGAGTGCCCCTGAGTTCAATCCCTGGTACCAAAAATAAATTCTAAAGAAAGGAATTTTTCTTGATTAGTTAAAGACAACAGAAAGAGGGTCTTCTTGGATGCTGGCTTTACTGTGTTGTTCATGACCTGGATGGTTATGTGCATGTTGGCTTCATAGTTTCATTTACTTGTAAATTTATATAGTATGCACTTTTTCTATATATTTTTTCAATGAAATAAAGTTTAAATTTTTAATTGAATTTAATTTTTACCTTTTTAAAAATTTTTGCTTTTTCATGTCTGATTTGTACAAAATACTTTTAGATTTTTAAAAAATGTTTTCTCCTAGTGTTTGGAAATCTTCATATTTGTAAATAGTTCAAATTGATCAGCCCTAGATTAAGTAGTATAGCAAATCTAACCTTTAAGACTTTTAGTTCTGTGATACTTTTAATAAAACAGAAGAATTCAATCTGTACCAAAATGGAAATTAGACTTGGTATCTCTGCTTTTTCAGTGTCATCAAAGCTAAGAAACTATCTCTGTAATTAAGATTTAATAGCTGGTACGATGGCACACGCCTGTAATCCCAGTGGCTCGGGAGGTTGAGGCAAGAGGATCGAGAGTTCAAAGCCGGCCTCAGCAAAAGCAAGATGTTAAGCCAACTCAGTGAGACCCTGTCTCTTCATAAAATCCAAAACAATAGGGCTGGGGATGTGGCTCAGTGGTTGAGTGCCCCTGAGTTCAATCCCTGGTACCAAAAAAAAAGAATAAATAAAAGAATTAATCTAGAAGAAGGGCCAGCACTTTGACAATACATTCAGAAGATAAATCTTCTCTTGTACTCTCCTTTCTTCCACTCATTTCTCATTGCAGTCAGGGGGAGGGGTTAAGGAAAGCATAGTTATATTGGAAGAGTGAAGGGCACTAAGAACTAAGAGTGTCAGGAAAGAGGTAACAAGGTAAGATCAAGTAACTACAGGATTCTAGATCAAAAATAAACCAAAGAATTGAGGAAATCTCTTAAAATATAAATCACATTAGTGAACTTTAAATTTTTTAAGAAGCTTATTTTTAAAAGACTTCAGTGGGAAGACAGGTATATAGTTTTGGGCTGAAATAAGAGGTGATGGAGGAAGGAGAACTGGGTATAACAGGATGGATAGATGGACAGTATGTTACATACGTTGCATAAATGTACATGTGAATGTATCTTGAAATTTGGAGGAATCAGCAAAGGATAGGGATATGATTAGAGAGGCTACTTTTGAAAGAATAGTTATTTAGCTGAGTACAACTGATAAAATAAAACTAAATTTCTCATTTCCAAGAGCAAGAATACTGATAGGAAGAAAGAGGAAAGGTCTTACGTAAATATTGAATATGGTCAAGCTAATGAGTGTTACTGCTGCTTAGCTGGTCATGAAAATCCAACTAAAGATTATCAAATAAGGAATTGTGTTTTTTACAAAGAGAAATGAAATGTTGTTTGCAACAGTTTTAAGTTACTTGCTTTTTATCTTTCAGTAATTACCCCTTAAGACATGTTTATTTAACTCTTGAAATATTTTATTAGGGATTGTGTATTCATGATGGTACCTGGAAGTCAGCAATTTATGGTTTTGGAGCTCGGAGTAATTTGAGAAAACTAAGAAGTGCATCAAATCTGAAACCTGTCCCACTCATTGGTACAAAATTGAAAAAAAGGTATGTCAATTCAAAATCTATTCTTTATTTGGTTTAAGTATATTGTTTTGGGGTTAACTATTAATAAAGAGTGTTACTAAGGAAAGCTTGGAGATTATTTTGTATTTAAATTCAGGATTATTTTCAAAGATAAAATGTAATTAACACATTATCCTATGCTTAAGTACTTTACATGTAATAGTACTTTTAAAAGTGCATTTTCTGATGCCATCTCACTACCAATATCAAAATTAAATGTCAGTTAAGTTTCATGCAGTCAAATCTTCTTAAAGTGTGATGATCTGAGTGTAAATTAATCAATGTTACTCCTGGCACTTAGATGCACTTATGTGTAAGAATGTTACCAGATATGAGTTTAGGGTTGCACTGTTGAAAATAATGCTTTCTAAATCAATGTCTAGAGAGATGGAGGAGGGAGTTAAAAGGTTAAACCACACTTACCTGTACATGGTATGAAGAAATTCAACACAGTTTCACTTGTTACTTGTTTGGGTGTAGGTATAGAAAATAAGGGAAAACTACAGAAGTAAATTTTAATTAAAAGCCCACCTACTATCTTTATTGTTATTAAGGCCTCAAGTAAAGTTTTTAATTTGTTTATTCAAAAAATTACCCACTGAGGGGCTGGGGTTGTGGCTCAGTGGTAGCGCGCTTGCCTAGCATGTGTGATGCACTCGGTTCAATTCTTAGCACCGCATACAAATAAATAATAAAATAAAGGTCCATCAACAACTAAAAAATATTTTTAAAAAATTACCCGCTGAATTTGTGGTCACTGTAGTTGGAGGAAATGCAAAATATTCATGTTTGTCCTTGCAGGTGGCCTGTTTCTTATTGTAGAGAACTCAACACATATTCCATTCCTTTCTTGGGATCTGATATGTCTGTTGTGAAGCGGACTCAACGTTACTTGTATGAAGTTTTAGAGGAATCACCAGTAAGTAAATATGATTTAATTATTAATAAGAGTATTCTATGTTTGTTGTATTTCCCCTATCTATTCAATGAAGGTTTTTATGTTTATAAAGAAAGAAGAGAGCACTAATTAAAGCATTGTTTCAGCTTCTAGAACTATACAGAATTGCAAGGGTAGAGCATTTTGCATTTTATCTGGGTAATTATAACCATGCCCCATGATTCAAATCTAGCCTATTAAATACTATGTAACATAACGTAACAGCAGCAAATTCACAGAAAATTCTGGTGTCATAAACATGTAACAGTCCCTGCTCAGTGTTTCAGCTGCTAGATCACATTCTACAATGGCTTGTGAAGGTGTCTAGGACCTCCTTCCTTTCCTTACCTTGCTTTTTAATTTGTTTATTCAAAAAATTTGTACTTTTGGTGAGGGAAGTAATGGTTCCCAATGCTGAGACTTGAAGAGAAAACTATATCTCAAGTTAAAAAGTGGAGGTTAAATTTTTCTCATAGGAGTTGTAAGTGGAGTTTCCACTCTGGAATGTTTCATTGCTAAATCTAGATATATTATGGAATATGTGGATTTTTTTGCTCAAGTAGGGGATGCTAATTACCATTTGTAACAATTTCTTTTAAAAATAGGCACTGAAGACTGGGGGTATATCTTAGTGGTAGGTGAGTAAGGATCACTTGCCACTGATTCCTTTACACCACTATTTCACATTTTACCCCCTAGTAGAATTATACCATCACTTGCTGATTCTTTTATTTTTCATTAGTGGCTTTTTTCAAAAATCTACCCAACCCCCAGCATGTATGAGGCACGGGGCTCAATCTCTAGCATCAGAGAAAGAAAAAAAAAAAAAATGTTCCCAGTGTCTGGTTTCTGAACAAGCTTTCAGAACTTAATGCACTGATAAAGTGGAAACTGCTTTGTTCATATTTGTGACTGGAGAGTACTTAAAAAGTAGCTAATATTCTTACAGTACTTGGTCTAAAATGTAGGGGTAACATTCTAACTTTGCTCTCAAACTAGGTTCAATATGCTGCTTATATAACTGTGGGAGGCATCACCTCTGTTATTAAGCTGATGTTTGCAGGACTTTTCTTTTTATTTTTTGTGAGGTTTGGCATTGGAAGGCATCTTCTCATAAAAGTAAGTAAAATTTTATGAAATTAAATCTTTAAAAGTGTTTCTCATGAGTTTTTAAAAAATATCACTGATGGTTTGTTTTTTCTTTTTCCTTTAGTTCCCATGGCTCTTCTCCTTTGGTTATTTTTCCAAACAAGGTCCAACACAAAAACAGGTAAATCTGTCTTTTGTATCCAGGTCTCCAAAATAATATTTTTCTTTATTTTGTTTTGGATCTGAGCATGTAACTCAATGGTAGAGCACTTGCCTAGTGTTTTAGTCAGCTGTTTTGCTGCTGTGACTAAAAAGACCCAATCAGAACAACAGTCGAGGAGGAAAAGTTTATTTAAGGGCTTACAGTTTCAGAGGTTTCAGTCCATAGACAGCTGGCTCCATTCCTCGGGGCTTAAGGTGAGGCAGAGCAATAGGGCAGAAGAGTGTGGCAGAAGTGGCTCACATGATGATCAGAAAGCAAAGAGAGATCTCCACTCTTCAGATAAAAAATATATACCCTATAGCCACACCCCCAATGCCCCACCTTCTCCAGCCACACCCCACCTGCCTTCAGTTATCACTTAATTAATCCCATTGGGTGATTAATTCACTGATTGGGTTTGGCTTTTGTAACCCAATCATTTCTTCTCTGAACTTTCTTGCATTGTCTCACACTTGAGCTTTTGGGGACACTTCACATCCAAGCCATAGCACCTAGCACACATGAAGCTCAAACCCCAGCACCTCAGCAAAAAAAAAAAAAAAAAAAAAAAAGTTGTCATGTTATTTTGTATTTACTTTTTCTCAGTACAGTGATAGCAGACAGCAATATGTAGACTTGGTGGGGGACTTACTGTGTTTCAGATATTCTTTTAAATTCTTTACATAGATCACCTAATCTTATAGTCACCTTGGAAGTAGGTATTATTATTAGGTCCATTTTACATATGAAGAAACTTAAGGCACATAGAGGTTGAGAACCTTGCCCATGGTCCTATCGCTAGTAAATAGCCGGCTGGGATGAGAACCCAGTCAGTTGACTCCAGAATTTGTATTATCCTTCTTCATAGAGCGTTGAAATATTTTTATTCCTCCGTTTTTCTTTTATCTCTTCTTTGCCTTCAGGTTTCCACTTTGTCTTCCCTATACCCTGAATTCCCAAGGCAGATAAAGTGAATTATCATGTGTCCAATATCCTCAACACTACAGCTGCCTGTTTTTTTACCATTAGTGTAACAAATCCCAACCCTGAGTTAGGGTGTGGGTCATTTATCCTTCATCTCCTTTACACAGGGCACTTCTGGGGAGAAATTCCACTACTGAGCAGATGGTCCCCCACAAATTCTCATTTTATCCTCTAGTGAATTCTAAGATCACTTGTCACTTATTCCTTTACTTTTCATTAGTGGCTTTTTTCAAAAATCTACCCAACCCCAAACCTGTTCTCTATCTGTCCGTTATCTTGATTTCTACTTCCCTAAAAGAACTGAGAGCATCTCTTGTGTTCTTGAATTCTGCCCTTAGACCTGTCATCATTGTTCCCATCATCACCTTCTTTACTTTTTCTGGAAAAAGTGTTTTTCTATACACCATGCTCATAACAACATTAGCATTTATTGTGCTGCAGCCACTGGGCTACAGACTCTATATCTTATTTAGTCCTCCAGCAGCCATTGAGGCAGAGGTATTATTCCACGTTTATAGTTGAGGAAATAAACAGAGGGTGTTATTTGTCTAAGTCCACACAGCTAGAATGTAGTGGATCCTAAATTCAAACTAGTCTGAGTCTTAGCCATGACTACTACTTTTGATCAGATTCCCTCCTGACTACATCAGTTGATTGTTCCTTTTCTCTCCTTGAAATTCTACCTCCTGCCTCTCTACAGGTTCTTTCTTCTCATTCTGAAAACATTCCAATGTCTTTTTCACCCTGAGAGAGAGCCCTGGCCTTTCCTTCACCTTTCATTAGTCCCTCTAACATTACCATTGACTTCTTAAAAAATGTTTTTATTGGTGCATTGTAGTTATAATAGTGGGGTTCATTTGACATAATCATACAAGAATGAATATAATTTGCTCCATTTCTGTCCCCAGTACTTCCTCTTTCCTACCTCTCCTCCCTTCTGCTGTACCCCTTCCTCTCCTCTTCTGGTCTTCCTTCTATTTATTTATCATTATGTTCATTGGTGCTTTATAGATATACATAAAGCTGAAATTCACTGTGGTTATTCATATATATATACACATAGCATAATTTGGTCAATTTCATTCTCCCTTTTCCTGTTCTTACTGTCTCCCATCATTGACTTTATATCTGCTAAATGCATTGAGTGCTTGTTAGTCCTTATTTAATGTCGGTTATCTTTGACATACTTAGAATACTTACTTCCTCTGGCTTGTGAGTTAATAGTTCTATTAAGTTTCCTTTCTCTTTCTCCTACTTCATCTCCTTTCTACTCCTTAAATATTGATCATTCCTGGGCTTCATCCTTGGCCCACTTCTCACTTACTCTAAGTGATAGCAGAGCTCTTAACACACACATTCATATTTCCAGATTGACAGAGCCATCTATTTTACTAGGCAGATATCCCATGGGCACTTCAAATTCAACAAGCCCAAATCTGCACTTTCCCCCAAACTGTCTTTTTCCCTATATTTTCCATCTGACACCATCATCTTCCAACCAGAAATATAGGCATTCTAGATTTTAAATTTTAATTTAAAATTTAAATTTTAAATTTTAAATTTTTAATTTTAGATTTTTCTCTAAACCCATCATAATTGACTTGGTTCAGGCCTTTATCTCTCTTTTTCTTTTAATTGTGGTAAAATATACAAAACAAATTTACCATTTTAAATATTTCAAGTGTTCAGTGACATTAAGTACATTTCATATTTTTGTGCAACCATCATTACCATCCAGATATATAACTATTTTTATCTTGTAACACTGAAATATTGTGCTCATTAAATAATATCTCCCATTACCCCACTCCCTAGCCCTGGCAACCACCATTTTACTTGCTGTTGCTATGGATTTGATGACTGTAGATACCTTATATAAATGGAATGACAAAAGTATTTGTCTTTTGTGTCTGGCCTCATTTCACTTAGCTTAATGTCCTCAGGGTTCATCTGTGTTGTAGCATGTGCCAGATCTCCTTCCTTTTTAAGGCTGAATAATATTCCATTTTAGGTATATACCACATTTTGTTGATCTGTTCATCTGTGAGTAGACACTTGGGTTGTTCCAACATTGTGGATCCTGGCTGTTGTGGATCATGCTGCTATGAACATGGGTGTGCAGCGGTCTTTTCAGTGCTATGGTCTACATTCTTCTTTTACATATATATGCAGAAATGGAATTGCTAGATCATATATTAATTCTATTTTTAATTTTTTTAATATTTATTTTTTAGTTGTAGTTGGACACAATACTTTTATTTATTTATTTTTATGTGGTGCTGAGGATTGAACCCAGGGCCTCACACATGCTAGGTGAGCGCTCTACTGCTGAGCCACAACCCCAGCCCTCTGTTTTCAATTTTTTGAGGAACCACTAAACTCTTTTTCATAGTGACTTCCAATAGTATAACAGGGTTCCAATTTCTCCACATCTTCACCAACATTTGCTTTTTTTTTTTTTTTTAAGTTTTTTGGATAATAGCCATTGTAATGGGTGTGAGGTCTTATGGGTGAGGGTCTTATGGTGGTTTTCCTTTGTTTTTCTCTAATGATTAGTGATGTTGACCATATTTTCATGTGTTTATAGACCATTTGTATATCTTCTTTAGAGAAATGTCTCTTCAAGTCCCTTTGCCCATTTTAAAATTATTTCATAGTTGTTTATTTAGTTTTAGGAGTTCTTGGTCTGTTTTGGATCTGAGCCCCTTTTGAGACATTTGGGTTGCAAGTATTTTCTCCTGTTCTGTGAGTTGCATTCTCATTCTTTGGATAGTGCAGGCCTTTATTTCTGGACTGATGTTTCATAGCCTTCTGTAGTTTCTTTCTAATCCATCTTTTCATGACCATCTAATAGGTCTTTCTTTTTTTTTTATATATATTTTTAATTTTTTATTGTGGGTTGTTCAAAACATTACAAATTTCTTGACATATCATATTCCACACTTTGATTCAAGTGGGTTATGAACTCCCACCTTCACCCCATACACAGATTGCAGAATCACATCAGTTACACATCCATTGATTTACATATTGCCATACTAGTGTCTGTTGTGCTCCACTGCCTTTCCCATCCTCCACCCTCCCCCCTCCCCACCTCTCCCCTCCCCTCCCCTCCTCTCTCTCTACCCCCTCCACTGTATAACCCTGAGGCTCTCCTTCCATTACTATGCAATTTCCCTTCTCTCTCCCTTTCCCTCCCACCTCTCATCCCTGTTAAATGTTAATCTTCTTCTCCTGCTCTTCGTCCCTACTCTGATCTTAGTTACTCTCCTTATATCAAAGAATACATTTGGCATTTGTTTTTTAGGGATTGGCTAGCTTCACTTAGCATAATCTGCTCTAATGCCATCCATTTCCCTGTAAATTCTATGATTTTGTCATTTTTTAATGCAGAGTAATACTCCATTGTGTATAAATGCCACATTTTTTTTTATCCATTCGTCTATTGAAGGGCATCTAGGTTGGTTCCACAGTCTTGCTATTGTGAACTGTGCTGCTATGAACATCGATGTAGCAGTGTCCCTGTAGCATGCTCTTTTTAGGTCTTTAGGGAATAGACCAAGAAGGGGAATAGCTGGGTCAAATGGTGGCTCCATTCCCAGCTTTCCAAGAAATCTCCATACTGCTTTCCAAATTGGCTGCACCAATTTGCAGTCCCACCAGCAATGAACAAGTGTACCCTTTTCCCCACATCCTCGCCAGCACTTGTTGTTGTTTGACTTCCTAATGGCTGCCAATCTTACTGGAGTGAGATGGTATCTTAGGGTGGTTTTGATTTGCATTTCTCTGACAGCTAGAGATGGTGAGCATTTTTTCATGTACTTGTTGATTGACTGTATGTCCTCCTCTGAGAAGTGTCTGTTCAGGTCCTTGGCCCATTTGTTGATTGGGTTGTTTGTTCTCTTATTGTCTAATTTTTTGAGTTCTTTGTGTACTCTGGATATTAGGGCTCTATCTGAAGTGTGAGGAGTAAAGATTTGTTCCCAGGGTGTAGG